GAGAAGAAAGTTTTCAAAGCATTTTCTTTATAACACAAAGTAAAATGACTCCTGGGGTTAGGTCAACTTTGACCAGATTGTCAAGATTTGAAAAATAAATTAAGGTTTTTTTGACAATGCTTTTAACCCAAAATCTAAGATCTGGGCATTTGGTTTTTGGAAAAAAATTTGGTAAAGATCTTGTTTATTATAGTGTCACCCCTACTGAAAGGGCCAGCCAATTTGACTAATGAGACACCTTTTGCTTGCATACCATGTACCTCCAAATTCCTATCACTATGCCAGGCGCCAGGCGGATAGAAATCGGTAACCATTCATTTTAACTACCTCGCGGCTCACGAAGCGGCCATTTCGGAACGAGTCCCACGAGAAACATTCATCCGTCAATTAACGCTCGCCGTGGGGCTCGAACCTTCGACCTCCCGATCCGAAGGCGGACGCCTTAACCACTAGGCCAACGGTACCGGTACCGATTTTAAAAAGTTTCCTATGTGTCTCCATATGAAATAAGTTGACCCTAGGGGTGGGTTAAATTTTCATTTGAATAAATTTTGTACTGGTCTATACCAGGCTACAACAGAAATATTAGCTATAGGCATCAGTTTGGGAGAAGTTTTTTTTAGCTTATCAATTATGTAAATTGAAGTGACCCCTGGCATAAATGAATTTGACCACAAGATCGTGATTTAAGGAAATTTAATAGTATTAAATACTAGGTCCTGCAGTTATGGAGAAGAATATTTTGATGTTTTTCCTATATTTACACTGTGTAAAGAGAGTTTACTCCGGGGCTTCGCAAGAAACATGAATGTGTACTTCTTGACCTTTTTCCAACCATGACCTTGATGTTGCGTCATGCATATCATAAGCACATAGTCTCACGATGGCGATTATTTGTGCCAAGTTATTTAAAATCTTCCATAAAGTCAAAAAGTTAGGGAGAACATATAACCTTGATCTTGGTTGCAGCGACCTGGATGTTGAGGTCTGTAAATTGTGTCGTGGTGGGGATCATTTGTGCTAAGTATTTTTAAAACCTTTGAATTGTCAATATGTTATAGAGCAGACATGAAAAAAAAAGTTTTTACATTGGACCGTTGAGTGTGACCCTGACCTTTAGGGTTGTGACTTGCTTATTGTGCTCTGTCAATGGTGTCACAATGTTGATCATTTTTATCTTAAAAACATTTCAGAGGTTTAAAAGTAAGAGACAGACGCGAAATGTAGACTTTCTAATATATGAACTGTAAGTGTGACCTTGACCTTTGGGGTAGCAATTCAATTATTGCGATCTGCACATCGTCTCATATTGGTGATCAATTGTGCCAAGCTATTTAAACAAAATTTCATAGGTTTAAAAGTTATGGAGGGGACACGAAATGTAGATTTTATACATTTGACCTTGACCTTTGGTGTAGCAACCCAATGTTTGCGTTCTGCACATGTTCATATACTGGTTATCAATTGTGCCAAGATATTTTTTTTAAATTTCAGCGGTTAAAATGTTGGAGCGGACACGAAATGTAGATTTTTTTACATTTGACCTGAAAGGGTGACCTTGACCTTTGGTGTAGCAACCCAATTATTGCGCACTGCACGTCGTGTCATAATGGTGATCCGTTGTACCAAGTTATTTCAAAACTTTACATCGTTAAAAAAAGCTATGGAGCGGACACGAAATGTAGACATTTTATTATTAAATGAAGACTTTTAACATTTGACCTTAAAGTGTGACCTTGACCTTGGGGGTAGCAACCCAATTATTGCGCTCTGCATATTATCTCATTATGGTGATCACTTGTGCCAAGTTATTTCAAAACTTTACAGCGTTAAAATAAAGCTATGGAGCGGACACGAAATGTAGACTTTTTATTATTAAATGAAAACTTTTAACATTTGACCTTAAAGTGTGACCTTGACCTTGGGGGTAGCAACCCAATTATTGCGCTCTGCATATTATCTCATTATGGTGATCACTTGTGCCAAGTTATTTCAAAACTTTACAGCGTTAAAAAAAGCTATGGAGCGGACACGAAATGTAGACTTTTTATTATTAAATGAAGACTTTTAACATTTGACCTTAAAGTGTGACCTTGACCTTGGGGGTAGCAACCCAATTATTGCGCTCTGCATATTATCTCATTATGGTGATCTCTTGTGCCATGTTATTTCAAAAAATTTTCAGGGGTTAAAAAGTTATGGAGCCGACACGAAAGTGTTATGGACGGACAGACTGACAGACGGAGTCCATTCCTATAATTCCATTTTTCCGCTACACGGAAGGTGATTACTGATTAACAATGTTGGTTAAGTCCCATCTGAAAAAGCCATACATATAAAAGTTCAAGATCTTTTTATTTATTTCTGGGAATATTTGAAATCATTGCGCATTTTCAGTTCTATTTTTAACTTCTGTGACTAAGATATACAATTATCCGATTTGTGCAAAAAAAAACAACAACAAAACAAAATTTCTGTCAAATTTTATCAAATATAGCCTGTTTTTACGTCACATCAACACTTTAAAAGGCTTTGTGGCGACTTTCCTGCTTTACTGAGGAAGACTTTGATATGTTCCCTCCGTGCATTATTTCATAATATTGACACCTTCTGGTCATCTTTTAAGGCAAATCAGAATTACAAAGTATATAAGAAAGTGAAATTTGGCTTATTCAAATAAAGAAAACAGTAAAATTGTTTGTAAAATAAAGAAATCAAAGTCATATGTTCATCCTGATTCCAAATTCAAATACACCTTAATCTTAATTTGGAACACACTAGTGTTCATGTGCATTACACGCTACAGGACAATTTGAGAAATGCTGTTTTTCCTCATCTCCAATTACATCGAAACTATGGTTTTCATACTGCACTTTTATAATGACTTAATTAAAACAGAAAGCTTATATGAATTTTGGATACGTTTAGCCGCGGGTTATTTCACATGATTTATTGATATTTATTGATGATGAGAAAATAACGAAACTGTCACAGTTGATATGATTACCAATGCCTTTGAGATTTTATTTGAATGTTACCTGTATATCAGTTATTGCTTATAAGACTTTTAAGTTTCAGTTTTGTGTACAATCTTCTGTAGCTTGTTCTTAATGTATACTAGAGTTTTTCCCCTCTGTATCCGATTTTCAATAGGTAAAACAATGGAGATTCCAAACAGCGCGGCGTTTTAGGGATTCTGTTTTTCTCTATTTTAATGTGTTTAAATGGAGGGGTTGTTTTTGGTTATAAGACAAGATACCATTTGATGAACAGTCCGGAGTTTGTTGATGATCATTTAAGACATACTGACCGTATAACAAAGCATTAGGTGGTCTGACCTGTAGGTCACAAAATAATTTATAAAGAATTTTGAGGCAACGGTGGAATACGGCCTATTTGTTTTGCGTAACAAGACATCTACAAGATTTATAATTTATGCTGCTCTATCTTTTTTAGAATAGAAGAAAGTGTCAAATATTTAACACAAAATGGTGATTTTATCCATGTTTCTCTAACTGTTACAATATTTCAGCTGGGCTTGTATTGCATTGAGATGAGAACACAATCATTTAGGTTTTCCAGATGCATCTATGGCACATTATCTTGAAGACGTTCTTCATCACAACATATTGACATATTGTCTATTCCTTCTTATCACATTTGATTTGTGGGAATTTTTTGCTTTATTTGTTATTTATTATTATTATTTAATGACCAATAAATGAAGAATGTTGAAAAGTTTTTTCTCAAATCGGGCCAGACATCAAGCATAAATTTTATTTTTCAATATAAATCTGAGTAGATTTCATTATTATCTTTTGCCTCTAAAACTTTAAGCGTTTTTATTGTTACAGTAACGGATCAATAAAATGTTACCGATGTTTTATTTCAAATTTGTGTTTTTTCATAGAAAGTAAATGTAGTGATTTTTTTTATGTTTCAAATGTATCCAATGCTGTAATGCATAATCATGACATTAACTTCTACAACATGCTTGAAATGATAAAACTGAAAGCCTCATACGTTTCCGGCTTTCTCTCATTTTACCACTTTGTTGCCATGGCAACAGAACCAATTAATGTTGTTGATAGAATAAAAATCTACCTTTTAAAAAAATAAAGACTTAAGAACATTTTAAAATGTAATCTTGTTGGTTATTCTTAGTCTTAATAATCATAATATATAAGTTCACTAGAAATTGGGACTCAATTTTCGTGTACCCCACCCACTTTAGGAATGTCAGAATCCACATTCTTACACAATAAAAATAAAAATAAGGGTACATTTAGTAAGTTGTTGATCAGGTCTTTGTATAATATGGTAAAAATATTAGTTTTCACCACTATGCCTCGACTGATAGGAAAAAATGCCAGCCCTATGTCGATTTTTGATACTTTTTCATGCTTTTTAGCAAAGTTTCTCTATGAAAACAAGAGTATATATATTAGAAAAAGGAAACGGACCCCTTTTCATATTGTTCTAATAGGATGTGAAGTTTTAACATCACCTGTACCAAAATAAATACAAAAAAGAACTAATTTTATCATATAAATTGAGTATTAGCCATTTTTAAATAATTTGGCGGCCATCTTGGATTTCTCAAAACGTACCATGATTTGACATGTCTACCCAAATTTTTTGTAAACTTCAAATATTTAGCTTTAAATTGGTATGACATTTATCCATGGACCTTTTTTGCACACAAAAGGTCCCCAGGGACTGTACTATTTATCGTTATATATTATTATCGGTAAACAATTGTTTTAGTCAGTTCCTAACATGTAATAAATATATACTGCTATAACCATTTCGTTTTAAATTTGATTCCGTTTAGCGATTTATTACCTCCTATATCTAAACTATGTTTGGGATGCATGGTTCCCTATTACAGGTCATGTAAAGTTGGTCTCTTCTCATATTTTAGCGTAACACCTATAGTAGCATAATATATGATTATCTACTTTGTGTGAAGTCAAACATGTTTACTCTAGATCTATATTTACAAATAAAACGGTGTAGCAATTATCAGTATTTTCTAATATTATATTTCTAACAGTTCAGGTACATAAAGTGCGATATTTAGAAATATATTTCTGTTAAAGTTTTGGATATAATGCTGGGACAAACAAAAGATATTTTACCTAGGATAATTTATGAAGGTGATAAATTCTTTCTTTTTCCATTTTTTTAAAATTAAGTCTGTATCGTTAAAATTATGATTGAAAATATGTCTGACAACCATTTTTAATTTAAATATGCCCACTGTTGGCCGAGACAGGTTGGCATTTTGTGCTTTCGGTTTCTACAACCACAATAATAAATATGTTTTCTTTTCATTTGTATCTATGAATTCACTGACTTTTAGGTGGACTTTTACTTGATACAGTAATGTTGGAAATAGACTCATGAGACTTGTCAAGATTTTTCAGCATTCGTTTACATATTTATAGTTTAGATTCGTCAACAATCGCAACTACTCGGCCCTTTCCGTCAGTCTTCGGATAAGGAGGTTATTATAGATAATAGCCGAGCAAGTTCCGAATGACTGACGGAAAGGGTCAAAAAGTTCACGGTGATAGGGCGATTACCACAACTTTTCCGCGCAACGTCAAAATATCTTACTTCTGTCTGAGACACCGTATATTTCTGTGGTACAAAATGGACAGCAAGTCTGTAACCGAGACGAAAACAGCAGATCATTTGCTCAAAACAAGGTAAAATCATCATTTTTTCTTTTTCATCGAATGTGCCATTTAATTTGAAACTTATTTATCCTTACTACATGCAAAATGCTTCATTAATTAAGTCAGGATAGTGAAAACATTTAGGGCATACTGAAAAAAATCTTGCTTTGATTACGAAATATAACGTATTTCTAGTCCGTTCAGTTCATATAACTGGCCAAAATACAATATAAATATGTACATTGTTGTCGTATGAACAAGTTACAATACATAAATAACCCGTTTTTTGTATATTTGGTACGATTTTTATGTTTCCACGTGTGTATTTTAAGGCACCGCACAACTTTGTCAATCATAAGATTAGGGCACCGCATTCTTCCTCCTTAAAATCACCGCATTTTTCTGGTTTTTTTAGCACCGTTTATTTTTTATATTAATGTTTGCTTTCAGAAAAAGAAGACGTTCAAACCTATGTCTGAACAAGCCAAAGCAACGTGCGAAATTTGCAAAGCTGCATATACTTCCAGAAGATACTGCAGCAACTGGAGAGCGCCCAACTAAGTCTTCTGATATCAGCAGTGCGCCAATGGATCAGCGCCTCCCTGTATTTCAGGACGATATGCTTAACGCACCTCATTAGAGTCAAACTTTCGCAAAAGATTGTTTAATAAAAGCACATTGGAGACCATGACTGAAGAGATTATGGAAATATTGCCCGGGTTCCTGCAAAAACTACACCATGAAAATTTATGTTATGACTTTTGCAACTTTATCAAATTAGTATGCAATAAGAAATTCCCATTAAAAATATTTCATTCCTTTTTTTTCTCGATGTTGTAAGATGGTATAGTCTGCCAAGAACTTCAATCTTTCCATGTGGGGTTTATCAGTTTGAATAAGTTCGAAAAGGAAAAGACATCCTTATCTATATATAGATACCATTGCACTTATCTATAATTGGTAGTATTAACACAGATCAGACCTTCTGAAATTTTCCATAACATAACGTATGATAACAGCAACATAACGTAACAGCAAGTAAACAATCTTTCATCAAATTAAACATATTTGTATGAAGATTGCATAATTCAAAAGAAGACGGTGGCCAGTATTTATCGGTCTAACGGAAAAAGAATGCGGTGTTTGAATTCAGTGTTGTACGGTGCTCTAATATTCGGGTCAGTAGGCCTTTTTTCAACATATATTCCCTGAAATTTACGATAGAAACACACAATTTTGCATGGAACTTGAACTTAGGGTTAACCATAATAAATATACGAGCTCGTTAGGTCATAGAACAAAGACATCGTCGTTAAACCACACGTTTTTGTGACAGGTACGAGTCATGTTGAGGTACACACGATATTTTGTAAACACTATTTCTTCGAAGTATGTGTTTTTTTGTGAATTGTATTGTGCTAGATTAACGATAAATTGTCTCAAAAATTCGATGGAATACTTAAACAATTGGAATAATCTTGCAATATCCAGCAGTAAGATATTTTGTAAGCTATAACCTGGAATTTGTTTATCCCGCCATTAATATTTTGTCCAGAAATATACGGTGTCTCGGTCAGAAGGATGGTATTTTGACGTTGCGCGAAAAAGTTGTGGTAATCGCCCTATAACCGTGAAGTTGCGATTGTGCGAAAAGTTGCAATTGAGAAGCAAGGAAGTTAATCGGAAAAAAAACATATAACTTGTTGTTATTTAGAAGTGTCTAAGATACCGAGGTAAATATATATTTGACATAAATTACAAAGTTTGATTACTGTCTACTACTGTCTACTCAGACGGCTTTATTTTTGTCATTGTTTCGATTTCGGTATTGTATACAAGTCCTACTTTCGCTTTTGTCTTGAAATGCATAAATATGACGTTTCTTTTGAGATGTGTTTACTTCTTGGCATAGCCGGGCTTGACCAACATAAACTGTCACAAGCCCGTAACGTCCGATAAATTGGACTAGATGTACATGTATATTACATTATTGCTTTATAAATGATATTCACCTCTTACATTTGAACATAAATAGTTTTATATACATGTCTATACATAAATGACGTGACGTAAACTCATTTTAAAAGGGTAGGCTGCCATCTCAAACCAAGACATTTTGTTTTCAACTTTTTGCTATTAAAACTACTAAATTCCCCAGGCCCTGACATACATTTATTCAAAAAGGCAGGTGCGGACCTAGGTTATTGATTTATAGAAGTCGGAATACAGTAGTTAGTGCGTAAATTCCTTAAATACTAACAAGCTAACCTTGGTCGTTATAAAAATGAAATGAAATAAATAAATAAATAAATAAATAATGATAAACGTAAAGTGATACGAGTCTAAATTAGTTAAAACTAAAAAGTGTAAAGGAAAGTTCTGTATACTTTAGCCACAGGCAGTCGGTGTGTGGTTCATTAAATTTCATCCATATATACTATTAATAAAGAAAAAAAACATATAACTTGTTGTTGTATCATAGTTTGGGGACCTTTCTGTTGAAAACGAGTTAAATCGTATACATATACATGCACAGTGCGTTAACTCGAGTGCATGTATTAGTTACCCGCACTCCAGAGCATGCCCATTGATTGGTTCATTTTTGCTGGGGTTTACATATTGTGACGGCAGAGAAAGGGAAAGAGACAGAAATATCATATTCAGATGTTCCTTCATTGGTTCCTTTTTGCTGGGGTTTCATATTGTGACATCAGGGAACATGTTTTTATGTTTGACTATGATACAAATCAAAACACTCGGCAATCTGATTAATACTCGGGGGCTACACTCCCTCGTACAAATCAGATAGCCTCGTGTTTCGATGCTCTTTCTATTACTTATTTTTCAGTGTATATACTGTGTTTACAAATTGATATCTAAGATAACGAGGTATATACATGTTTGATATAAAAGTTTGATTATTGTTCACTACTATCTATAACTTTTTGTCATTATTTCAATTTCGGTATTGTATATAAATAATACTTTCACTTTTGTCTTGATAATAATAAATTAGTCCTATAAATATGACGCATGTTGCATTGGGATATTTTTACTTCTTGGCAAAACCGGGCTTTACCAACAGAAACTATAACAAGTTCGTTCCGTAACGTCTAATATAATGGACTAGATGTAGTTATTATATATTCATATTTTATTTATAGTATATAAAGATGAAATTAAAAGAACCTCACACCAACTGCCTGTGAGTTTGGCAACATATAGTAAGGCTAGGTTAAAGCATTAAGGCCTAAAATAAAATATTGTTTTTTTTCCTTCCCGATTCCTACCAACAAAAATCACAGCTACTCTGTATATTTAATAGAAGAATTGTTTCTTTATCTGTTTCAGATACATAAAATGGACTTGGAGTACAATATTAATAAAAATGGGAAGATTCTCGTTTGGATTTACTCTCAGACCAGTCCACTTGGTTTACATGATCTTTCTGAAGAAGAGAAAAAAGGAAGTAAGACACTGATGACAGAAGAAGCCACTGGTTGCAAACGAGACATTGATTTGAAACAAATCAGAAATTTTTTCGAGAACGAGAAGGAAGGGAATTTTGATGCACAAATTGAAGTTAAACAGCAGATAAGAACATCATTTGAAGAGTTCAAATCGGAGCTGAAAAAAATAGACAAAGAAAATCCGCTTGCGTACCAATGTTTTGTTTTTGTCTTTTTGACATACAGTAAGCCTCAACATGAGGAATACAATGAAGAGTTGCTGCATTTCGACCACAGATTTATGGCAGAAGGGCTTGTCCCACAAGCAAAAATCATCGATGAAGTCAAAAATCTAAATGTAACAAAAGGGAAGCCAAAAATCTTTCTAATCCAAGCGGATGATTTAAGTCTTCTTAAAGATAAGATGACCCATAAAGCGAAACCGGACTATGAGACACCAAAAGTCATTAAAATACCAACAGATGCTGATCAGCTCATCATAAAATCCACTATTCCTCAGAGAATTGCCAACAAACATGCTGCTAAAGAAACACCATCATTTTTGATACAAGCATTTCTGAAAGCAATGAAAACGAAAAAAGAAAGGGAAGATCTTTTAACATTGACTACAACTATCAACAGACACGTTGCGGACCTTATAACTGAATACAAAAATAAATCTGGAGACCTGAGGGCAACTGATATGCATGTACCTTTGGTTACATCTACTCTCACAAAATTATTATTTCTATAAACTAATACTACCCTGAACATGTCATTAGCTGTTTTAAATGTAAAGCATTGTTAAGTATTTAAAAGGAGGATAACTTAAACATCGAACAAGGAAGAATGTAACATTTTTTGTAATACTTTTTCTCCATAGTGATTCAAACAACAGACAGGTGCTTGCATTATTTGTATATATGTTTGGAAATGGCTAATAGTTTGTATTAATTAAAATTTGTTCATTGCGTTTTATGTCAAATCAAATATTTATGTGGCTAAATAGAAAAATCAGAGTTTTTTTTGTAAATACAGAGTTTAGCTTAAGTTTATCACTTTGTGCATGTACATTTTTGTATTTAATTATTATTATTATTATTATCATTATTATTATTATTATTATTATTATTATTATTATTTTTATTAGAAAAGATCATAGGATATACTTAATTTAATTGATAAAAAAGTTCGACATCTATCATATGCAGTTAATTTCCTGGATATCTTTTATGTTTAATTCGATCTCGGCTTTTCTGAAAGCGATATGTTGCATAAGATCTCTATACACATGTTTGTAATACGACCTCATCCTTTGTAGGTCAAATTTCCCGGGATCCTTTTATATGGGTATACACCCTCTGATAAGTTTCTCTGTTTAAGATACGGAACCCACAGTATCGTAACGAATTAAGAGGAACATGGATCATCTGTTATATTAATAGCATTTGCTGTGGTTTTATGAACGAAAGTAAAATAAACCCGTATATTGATTATAACCTTGACTTAAGAGTAAAATATAATAAGAACTTTACCAATCTGCATATATTTGACAAGTGGAAATAACATTATGGATCTACATGTATATCTATAAGTAGGACATTTCTGACCGTTACTATTGTTTATACATTATTGTGAAACAAAAACACAAATACGACATTGCATGCTTATATTTTGTAAGAAGCACATACTACATTGTGTGTCTAATGCTGATTGATATGCTAATAAAGAAATGTCTTTGACAATTATGTTGTTGCTTTGATCGATATGTTGTTTTAAGGATAACAAATTTTCAAAGATCATACATGCATACATACATGCATTCTAATTAAAAGAAGAAGCAGTTGATGTGCAGTCAGAGACATAGATAACATTTTATTAAAGTTTGTGGTGCAATAAAGCAAAAGCATGTATACGCATTTGCAATGTTCTGTTAGATAAACAACCATTTTCAATGCGACATTAACATATCATCAAGATACAACTATACATCTACATTAACTCTTCTTTATTTAGTATACTTTTAGCGGATATTCCCCTCCATAAACGTACATTTAACTCTTATTTATTTGGTAATGGTCACTATGAGTTAAACATATAGTGTTTTTTACAGACTTATAGAAAATTGCTACGTGACTTGTATAGTAATTCCCACGAGAAAATGGCGACTGCTGAGTCCCGCTAAGTTCCTTATTATGTTAAAATAAGGTGACAAACGTTTCTTAAATCCAAACAAAACATAGCGTAACATTTGCGGGGTAATTTCATTCAAATGACAATACAAAGTGCATTATCTTACGTTTTGTGATTTTTGAGAACATTGTTTGAATTGTGTGAAAATTACACATGCAGCGATAGTAATTCGCATGAAGCGATGTAATTTGGTACCAAATAAATGAAAATAAGCTTTCTTTCTGCACTTTAGACATCAAACCAATCATTTTATTTACATATGTTATCGCAGAAGTCCAATTTGACTCGTCCAATTAGATCGCGTATTTCAACCCAGGTATCAGACTGCAAAATGGCTACGGCAATTCAAAAAATACCGCGAAACAGAAAAAAATCGGAATAATATTGATAGTGGTTGGACTTGAATTAGATAAGCTGTAGAATTCTAGTACTTTTTATTGATGTTTATGAATGATGCAGCGAAATCCCGCCGGAATGCGTCTCAGTAGCTGAAACGACGATTTCCCTTGTTCCACATTGTTTGGCACATGAACATATATTAGGCTTTTCAACTTTCTATAACTATACTTTTGATAGTGGAATTTTTTCTTATCGGTGGTTTTCTTATTGGTACCTTATAGTAAGCCTTATAAAGTGTTGAATTTTTTTTTCAGGGTTATAGTAGGGGTCCAGGGGCAGATAGGGGAGGGGTGTCTAAACACTGATACTGCCATCTGTGATGCAAATTACTTTGATAAGATTTACAAAATATTCTATTTTATCAGTGAGTTAAATTATATTTAGTTCGGAAAACAACTTTTTGGTTATCTGTTTTGATACTATGCATATGCATTTCGTTTACTGTATGTGAGCTCAAGTTTTATCTACAGCTCTTTTTAAGTTACGTTAAATTTAATAAAAACATCATTTTCACTTAAATTAAACTTACATATTAGGCTATCTTTAAAATATACATGCCTTTTAAAAGTCAAATTATTTTGAAATGTTTTGTGCATCGTTTACTAAATTATCAAGTTCTGTACAAAGTATTTGCCCGGTACATAATTTTAAAGGTGCGTAAGAATATTACTAAATCTCTAGTGGTTTGTAAGCTATAAACTTTGTTTTAATGCCTCTTTGTAAGCAGAAAAGATGAAGACAAAAAAAAATCAAGATTGAGGGTGTCAAAAGTAATTGAATGACTGTTAAAGTACAATATTTAAGGAGTCATGCATGTTTCAGAAATGTATTGATTTTTATTCATGACTCAAATTTTTAAAAAAAATTATAGTGTCATTTGTTCAATTATTGTTTTTAGTACAGTCCCTGAGGACCTTTTGTGTGCAAAAAAGGTCCATAGATAAATGTTATACCAATGTAAAGCTAAATGTTTGAAGTTTACAAAAATTTTGGGTAGACATGTCAAATCATGGTACGTTTTGAGAAATCCAAGATAGCCGCCAAGATGGCCGCCAAATTATTGAAAAACGGCTAATACGCAATTTATATGATAAAATTAGTTCTTTTTATATTTATTTTGGTACAGATGATGTTAAAACTTCACATCCTATTGGAACAATATGAAAATGGAGGCATTTCCATTATTTATTCATATTCTCTGAATTTCATAAATAAATTTGCTAAAAAATGCATGAAAAATCATCAAAAATTGATATGGGGCTGACATTTTTTCCTACCAGCTTATGAATAGCGGTGTGTGAGGTTGATGAAGGCACCCCTATAAAAAAATGTTGAGCGTTCTTTGCGTAAGTTATTCTTTGCGGTAATTTGGCGCAGTCTCCGCCATGTTTTAAGTAGAAAGAATAAAGGCAATGAATTAAGAACATATTCTTTTCTTTTTAGACTCCGTATCATATCTTCAATTTGACCCGGCCAACATTTGGGGGCTCGTCCGGGATATTAACAATGACAAGTTTACGTGATGTGATGCGGATGAAGAGAAAAATTTTCGGCCTTGAATCTTCAGAACTGAGGTCTCTAGTAAAACATCTGGATGAAAAAAAGAAATTTTCAAATGAAGATGAGATGTTAAACTTTGCTGAAGAGATGGCAGAATCAATTTTGAAAGAAGAAGAAGAAGATCAAAAGGCTTTTCTTTTTGCTGATTTTGAACGGATGCTATTAGAATGCAAATCAGATGACAAGTCACAGAAAACTTTTCTTAAATCCACATGAGAAAACTAACCCGACACCAGCCATGTGGAGAAGAGACTTCAAAATATCAGGATCAATTACAGACGCAGGTGGTCTAAGTTTGGTATCTTTAAATCGCCAAATAAGAACTGGCATTGAAAAAGGACACACCGAGACAGAGATAATTCGACATCAGAAGATGCGGTGTCTTATGATAAAGTGTTGGTAGAGAGGATGTTTTTCCAGGCTGTTGCAACTGGTCTACGTGAAGATAACATAAGACATAGACTCAGACCTATTTTACTACCAGGTGTGTCTGATGTAGAGATTCTCAAAACACTGAACGAAATAACTCTTAATGAACTAAAACATAATTCAAAAACAAAATCTACAATAGCAACAGTTCAGGTACAGGAGAATAAAGCCATGAAAGAACTACAAGCGCAAGTTAAAGAGCTAAAGAGTTATGTGCTTCAGATGAAACAATCTAATCACCAAAACGGAAAGCACGAAAAAAATGAGAATGCAAGCATGCGAAGACCAAGAAAAAAATGTCAAAAGTGTCAGGATGGAGATGAACTATGCAACCACTGCTTTAAGTGCGGCTCTGAAGAACACTATGCGAGAGGATGTAGAGCAGCTTTAAACATGAAGGGGTCATCGGGGCAGGGGACGCGATGACCAGTGACATCAATGAGAGACATCCCCTAAATAGAACAATTGAACATTTTGAAGAAATCAAATCAAAAATAGCATCATTAGAAACAGAGAACAATGTCTATGGTAACCAAATTAAGGGTACAGTTTTAAGTTTATCATCTAATTCAAAAGAGAAATTAATTAATATAGTAGTGTAAAGAGTGTTTAATAGATGTAAATTTTAGAAAAGGGAATTCGGTTATGGATACAGGAGCCAGATCTCACTTTCAATCAAAAACTATTATTTAAAGAAAAAAGACCATTTCTAAAGATGAGGAAGATCTGCTACCAGAAGAGGGTGAAATTCCGAATTGGAGGGGTTGGAGAAATTTATACTTCAGTAGGCAAACGAGATTCTAACAAATTGCTTCATTTAATACCCAAAGCTAATTTTTGTCCAAAACCAATCTCAAGTGAGTTTAATGTAAATAGACATTTTAAGTGGGATAAATGAAGATTTAACTTTGTTGGATCAAGATGTTGTACAAGTGATTAGAATGAGGGTTAGTTATGGAAAACGCTCAGAAAATGGTAGTTGTCGCCTTGGAAAAAGACGACAGTATCTATGGTAAACAATACGATTGGAAAGAAACCGTTTAATTCCTTTGCCCCAAAATTCTAAGCAATGATAGAATAACAGTTTATTCATTATTGTTCATGAAAGACATTTCAGGCAAAAGTTTTTGAACCAAAAGTTGAATTTTCTATGCATAATGGGTTAGACTAACACTGGCCATATGTTAATGGGGTTTCGTGGTCCAAAGTTAAGATTCAATGGTTGGGGCCTGGGAAGCGTAAAATACATCAATAAATAGAAGTGTTTGTATTAACTAGTAGAGAACAGAGTTGGAAAGTTGTCAAGGCTTGAGACTTTTTTAATTACTTATGTTGAAATAAGTTATTGCTTGAAGGTATTTAAATACTTGTTCTGTTTCAAATTTTAATTATAGGGTTAAAGAAGTTGTGAGGAAGCATTCGGTTTTGGACTTAAGGCGAACAAAGTCGGACAGGAAGTTTCAAAAGATATGTCAAATCAAATTCATTTTACTCGGAATGAAAAAATACCATTTACTAAAGATTGAGAAAATGTTTTTCTAAATACCAAATTAGAGAAAGAATATTT